AAAGGTTCTATGGTCTGGCGAGTGAGGCCATTGTCTAGGCTGCACAGTTCATTCAGCTGGCAGCGTGCTGTCGTTAACTCCCACACAATGAGCGCAGTACGTGCTATTCCACACGCCGGTGGAGCCGACCAGGCGTTGAGGGCTCAGCGCGGCCGGCCGTCGCAGACTCGGTAAGTTCCGTAGGGTTTACAGAGCGGTAGTGCGGGGCCGTTAGTACAGCGGTTTCACGGCCCCGTCCCGTGCAGCCCGCAGGGAGGTGGCGTCCGTATCTTACAGAGCCGGGTCCCCGTCCCTTCGTGTCGGACCGGCAGTCGGGGGCGGCGGACGAGTTCCGTGCCGCAGTGTGTGTGCGTGTGTGTGTGTGGGGGGGGGGGCAGGATCCGTGCCGCAGGGGGGGGGGGGCAGGGTCCCACAGCCCCCCGTACAGCGGCGGGTGGCCGGTGCAGCAGACCCACCTGTTTGCGAGACAGACGCGTCGTCTGGCTGCCCGTGATGATAATATCCGAGTCGTCGATGTCCATCCTCTGCTGGACGCGCAGGGAGCGGGCGCGCGCCTCGGCGTCGTCGGCCGCCGACCCAGCCGCGTCCTCCCGGTCCACCACCTCCTGGAGCGTCTTCTGCTCAAGGACAGAGCGCAACATGGCCGGCGTCAATCGAAGCGGCACGCGGCCGGCGTCAGTCACGGATACAGCGGCGTCAGTCACGGATACAGCAGCGTCAGTCACGGATACAGCGGCGTCAGTCACGGATACAGCGGCGTCAGTCACGGATACAGCGGCGTCAGTCACGGATACAGCGGCGTCAGTCACGGATACAGCGGCGTCAGTCACGGTCACACGCCGGTGTCAATAACGGATACAGCGGTGCCGGTGTCAGTCATGGACAAAGGAGAACACAGAGCGGCGTCAATCACGGATAGAGCAGAGCTACTCACGGACAGAGCGGCGTTAATCACGGATAGAGCAGAGCTAGTCGCGGACAGAGCGGCGTCAATCACGGACAGAACGGCGTCAGTCACGGATAGAACGGCGTCAGTCACGGATACGGCGATTTTTGCCGTCGTGATTCAGTATCCTCCAGCAAAGTAAACACAATTCCCATACGCTGTTTAACATAATCCAACCATGACACAGCAGGCAAACAGTGCACGCGACATGATAGCATCGATACGACTGAACACGGCAACGCAACTGAAGGACAAGGGCAAAAACGACCCATCCAGACAGAGGTACTCAATTACGGACAGCACGTCAAGGACACAACAGCGCGCTTAGCCATCCAAATGTGACACCCGAGGGTAAACGACCACGACAAACCATCCCTGCGCCTTAGGCTGACCCTGCGCAAACACTACACCAAGTTCGGCCGACCCCGCCCACCCCCGGCGGCCCGCCCGCCCGGCACTCACCACGCAGTCGTGCGTTTTGAAGTAGATGAAGCAGAGGTTGACCTTGTGGCAGGAGAGCCGACCCCTGTCGTCCACGCCCACCAGGATGTTGTGTTTGCTGAAGACGCGGTTCACCAGCGCCACGCAGCGCTCCAGCTCCCGGTTCAGCTGCGTACGGTTGGGAACGGTCCCGGCTCAGAGGGTGACGGAAAAGGGTCCAAAGGGACCATCGCCCGTACTGACACCGACACACCCACCCTATCCCGCCCCTATGGAAACGATTGCTTCTATTGCTCGCCTCTGGGAATTAATGCACCACATGAACATGAAACCACTCGGGCCAAATTCGCTCGGCACGAGAGACGCGGCGGTCGGCCACCCGGCTCCTTCCCACGGAATGGACACAGCTGGCTACCGAGCCCTGGTCCCAGCGCCCACCGCATGCCGCTACGGTACCGCGCCCCGTCCCACCTCCCACCCCGACCAGCCAGCGACTGCGGGCGCGCCCACCGACCTTGATTTTGATCCACATGCAGACGAAGATGGCGACGGCGTTGACGATGAGCCAGATGACGCCGCAGCCGAACAGCTCGATGCCCGGGTTGACGGCGAACAGGATGGCGATCAGCACCACGAACCCCATCAGGATCCAGCCCACCAGGATGCGCTTGTAGCAGATGTTGTAGGCGTTGAAGCGGACGTCGTTGACCAGCAGCTCCATGCCCTGGACGTACTCCTCCACCGTCAGCTGTCGAGAGGAGGACGGGAGGAGGTCAGAGGGAGGGCGGGAGGAGGTCAGAGGGAGGGCGGGGGGAGGTCAGAGGGAGGAGGTCAGAGAAAGGGTGGGAGGTGGTCAGAGGGAGGACGGGAGGAGGTCAGAGAAAGGGTGGGAGGTGGTCAGAGGGAGGACGGGAGGAGGTCAGAGGGAGGGCGGGAGGGGGTCAGAGGGAGGGCGGGAGGAGGGCGGGAGGAAGTCAGAGGGAGGGCGGGAGGAAGTCAGAGGGAGGGCGGGAGGAGGGCGGGAGGAAGTCAGAGGGAGGGCGGGAGGAGGGCAGGAGGAGGTCAGAGGGAGGCGGGAGGGCGGGAGGAGGTCAGAGAGGACGGGAGGAGGTCAGAGGGAGGGCGGGAGGAGGTCAGAGGGAGGACGGGAGGGCGAGAGGAGGTCAGAGGGGAGGGCGGGGGGAGGTCAGAGGACCGCGGCCGGGGTACGCCGCCGTCATCTGCCGAGAGGAGGACGAGAGGACAGGAGAACGGAAGGTCAGACTAGGGGAGGACCGCGGCCGGGATACTCCACCGTCAACTCCGGACAGATAACGGGCCGAGATATTTAGAGGTGATGTACGTACGTCGACAGGTAAAACAGAGGGACAGACCGCAGAGAGAACTGCTGAGATGAGGGAGCAGAATCAAGGCTGGGGATAAGTTTCCGGGTCCATCTTACCGTGAGTCCCTGGGCCATGAGTTCCTCGGGTACCAGCTCCGGTCGGAACTGAGCCGGTGTGATCCACGGCAGGGTCGAGTTCAGAGGCAGCAGCGTCACTATGACGTCACCATTCTCTGAAAAAAAACACCATAATCGTGAAGTCATCATTCTTCCTACGTGCTTTGAGCGCTGGATGAACAATGAACAGGAACACCCCGCAAACTAGCGGTGGGCGTGTACGCGCGTTAGTAGTGCTCGTTAAAAGCCACTTTCGTCCCCACGGCAGTAAGCGATAGCTGGATCCGTCCTTGATGTACTGAGACTGACGCCACATTACCACGCTGTTGAGAGTTGAGACTAGATGATGCTTGGCCAGCATTTGCTCAATGAGTCCCTGATATACCCCACCAATGGCAGGATGGCGCAGGTCCCGGTCAGTGGCACTCACCGAAGCCACGCAGCAACCGCCGCGGTGGTAGGGTGGCAGTGGCACTCACCGAAGCCCCGCCGCACCTCGCCGCGGTGGTAGGGTGGCACTTACCGAATCCCTGCCGCACCCCGCCGGCCGCGGGCGCCGGCTGGTCGGCCAGCGACACGTCCTGCAGCGCCGCCGAGGTGGTGAGCGCCGGCTCCGGGCGCACGCCGTTCCTGGCCGGACTGCGGTCCACCGGCGCCGGACTGGGCACATTTACCTGACAACAATGGGGCGGCCGTCACGGTCACACGTGGTGTGTGGGCACACCACCCAGTGCTATGTATGGCTGTACTGTACTACCTGGATGGCTGATGGTACTTTGGAGTGTGGCATGGTGCAACCTGGCACACAGAACACTGCAAACTGGCGCAGATTACCTATAGGCCACAAGAACCTCAAGCATTGACAGTAAACTAAACAGTGACATTACACAAGGCTGAACAGGGCACAGGCAGACAACCAGAGAAGAGGAACCCACTCTTATGTTGCTGGGATCTTCTGCTGCTTCTAATGTTTCATTCTGGACATCAATGGTGGCTGGAGCATTTCCATTTTCTGGCCTTTCTGATGTACCACCTGCCTCCTCATCAAACTGAACCCACTTCTTCTGCTCAGATTCTGGTAACTTATCTTCTGACATGATCAGGGTTCTGATTTAATCTGGAAAGGAGAACTGGGGTAATGACTCCTTCAAAATCATAGTTAAGTGTTAACGTTGAACACTGGGTTAATGGCACAACACTCACAGCCTCTAAATACATGTTAACCAAAGTTTTCAGTTACAAGGCCACCACACTTCAAACTTATCACATTTTTTACAATTCCTACCTATCTGTTTGTGCACTGCACAGGATGGATTTGCTATGTGGCGCTGGGGGCCACACCACAGTCATAGAGACGGCCACACCTCAACATGAACCCAAGTGGCATCAGCCTGTGACCCCTGTGACAGTGGTGCAAGGTTATTGTTCCGTGCAACTTTGAGCACCAAGGGCAACTTTGGCCCACTTCTGGAAAACGAAGTTATTTTGCTGTAACTTATTGCGATTAAGGGAAAGTGGGGCAAAAGTAAATGGTTAAGGGAAGCCTACCCTGGTCCCTGACCGTCTTACTTTCCCTTGAGTGTTAAACGTTACAGCAAAAAGAAATTCGTTTTTGGAGTGGGCCAAAGTTGCCCTTGGTGGTCAAAGTTGCACGAAACTACGGTAGTGCAGTGCAAAGCTCAATGTACACATGAGATGAAACCCCTCCCCTGAGCTCCCATTTGTAAAAGGCACGGTACCTACCAAACAATTTTGCGCTCAGCATCTGATAAAAACAACTTGTGGCAATAAGTTATTTATTAAAAATATGTGGCAATTGCTTATTGCCACAGATTATTACCACACGCGCAGACTAACGTAATTTTTTTTTGTAGAACGGTCAAGTGCACGGACAGGCAAGATTGCTAGAGACATGATAAGAAAAGCCATAAAAGTCTTTAAAAATAACAAAAAATTCTCATATTTTTTTTGCTACATTTATGGGCCGGCCCGGGCCTCTTGCTTTCGCTTTTCTTTTTTTAAGATACGTTGGAACAAATTTTAATTTTTAAATCAATTATGTCTATTTTTCTATGGTTAAATGGATTTATGGTTCAAGTGTTTATATAAAGTGCCCTAAATTCAGCAAAGTTCAGTGTCGTTATGGGAGTCAGAGAGATGTCGTTCACAGCTGTGTACAACGAGATTGAAGCACACGTAATAGTCCTTTGACTAAGGTGACCGTCACCAATCTGAGGAACAATTGGTTGCATTTCAGTGCCTTGAGACTTAAAGCGTCTTGTCGAGAGTTTATTGAATATTTTCCCAAGATATCGCATTATAACCACTGCCAAACAAAACAAAAGCTTGGTACAAAAAATTGAAGTGTGGCTTGGATTTTTGAAAGTGTGGTTATAAGAGATTGAGAGGAGAGAACAGCTTTTGAATTTTTGTAAAAAAAAGCATTATCCATATTGGATTTTCAAAGTAAGTGTTCTTTGTGTCACTCGGGTGTTGTCTTGAGAGAAACTGATCCTAAATGCTTACTGCAGCTGCGCTGCAATTGTTACAACTGCGTTATGGCTAGCATTTCAAGCCTATTTTATAGCCTTTTTATGTTTGAATATGATCCTAGCAGTGTGTATCAAAAACATGTTTATTATATGCATAGTTTGTACTATTTTTTCATTTTCCTGTGGCCTGGGACCGGGACACCTGATAACCAGAATGTCTACGAACCACCAGCCTCGGCCTGTGTGTCATGAGCCCTCTGCTGACTTCTTTCTAGCATTAAAGAATTCAGGATATGCCAAATAATGGCAAGTTACTAAAGAGTGCTTGGGCTGCACCATTCTCATGCTGAAAACCCTCCCAGTGGATTGTTAAACCCTCGCTTGCAGAGGGTGGGGCGCCAGTCTGCAAAGTATGGCAATTTCGATGAGATCTTGTTGGTGCGGGCTTGTTAAGGCCTGCCTGGCTACACTATGCGTTTTCTGCGTGTGTTTTCTGCAAGTTTGCGTGATTTGCGTAATATCGTTCTAGAAAGAAACGACATTACGTTTTGTTATTTTTTCATATAAACTTTTAATTAATTTAAAAATTAAAAGTTCTAGTAACTTACAAATAGATATTAAAGAAGTTTTATTAGTAATAACTTTCTAGAACGATATTATGCAAATCACGCAAACTCACAAAAAACACGCAGAAAACGCATAGTGTAGCCAGGCCTTTAGGCTGGTGTGGATTTGGTGCAGTGTGGTGCGGATTTGGCTTAGTGACAGAAATGACAGTCCAGACGAGATAGATGAGGCCAGAGGCACGTAAAAAAAAACATTGTTAAAGCTTCGACATCACGTAATTCAGTGTGCTCTAGGGTCTAAATGAGTGTGAGGTGGTCAGAACGGCCTGCCATCAATCACGTGGGTCGTGGGTCGCCCCCAAGTTCGCACTCTGCACTGTTGCAACACGAAATGCACCGGCCGCACCGCTCAGCTCCGTGAGGCGCAGGCGGTAGAGTGAGAGAGATGAGCACGGCCGATGAGAGGGATTAAAGATTAATACGGCCGATGGGAGGGTCAGAAAATCACCACCTAGGCGGCCCTAGCCGCTTCAAGTAGTCAAATGCGAACTATTTATCGGGTATAGTCGACTACAGAATGATGTTCCACTTTTCACAGGCAATTATTTGCCTGGAGTGGTAGGCTGTGCCGCATCACACGGACTGAGTTCACAAATTATAGCTTTGTCCCGATGCTCATAATCGACACGCTTAATTGCGTGATAAACGGCACAACTTACCGCTCCGGTTAACTGATAGCTTCTGAGGAGTGGAACATCATTCTGTAGTCGACTATACCTACGTGCGACGCAGCCAATAGGTTACGTTGAAAGAAGCTGAGTTTGTTGCATTCTGCACTCTGCAGCATTCGTGAACGAGATGCGCTCGGCTCATGTGTTGGCGTTGTCGTTCGGTGGTAGGTACTGCGAGCTGCGCATGGCTGATAGCAGGCCTTGAGGACCACCTTTTTGCCGCAGCTAAGTTGTCAAATCCGCTGTGAATCACTTGCCTGTCAGATTTTTTGTTCGATACAGCTAATGATGCCGAAAATTGCATGCATGCAATGGGCCCACTTTTTGCCATTCATATTTCTATTTTTTGTAACTGGGACCTTCACAATATGTCAAGCCGTTTAGCTAAATGGCAGTGTCGACACAAGAGTCGACACCGGCAGTAGGGTAGCCATGGTACATCGCACAATAATCACCCTGGATGAATCGCTAGGGGCATAGACGGCGGAACGGGGAGGGCACCGGGGCTGTGCCCCCCTTTGATTTTGGCATTTTAATCCTCGCCCGTATAGGGGGGGGGGGCGAACGGACCCCCCTCGGTTTTCGCGAATAACTCGCGTAAAAAAACGGCCGATCGCGACGAAACTTTCAGTACACTCGCGTTAATCAATTCTACACCTACCCAGAAATTTTCATGACCCTGACCTTAATGACCTTTGACCTGTGACCTACTTTTCGAGACCATGTTTGGCCGGAATCGCGATTCGACGTATGTCGGCTCGCATTAGCCGCGCGTTTGCAGTCTTTTCGTGGTTTTAAGCGTTCAAACATGGGATATGATGTTGCTCCCATGCATTAGGGTGCGTGTCAAGGTCACCGGAAGGTCAGGTCAGGTAATTGACCTTTGATGACCTCGGTTCACTTTTTCGAGTTTTACATGTTTCTAGGCCAGTTTTTGGAGGTGAATTCGCATTTAGCAACCATATGGACATTTACGAAGTAGTTTTGGCACCTTCGTAACATGTTACGAAGCTGTCAGAGGCGGTTGCCACCTACTACGAATACCCTTACTGGTTGACCTGACCTGACCCGACCTGGCCTAAATGCATAAAGACATCATCTGTGATCAAAACTAACATGATATTCGTGATCAGCACCCCGAAAAACCTCATAGCAGCCACTCTTTACGACTTTCTAACAGGTCCCGATTTTCCCGACTTTTGGGTCATTGACCTGACCTAGAAGGTCAACCGATGACCTAGGACCTTGAAATTGGGTATCATCGGCTTCCTCTCGTGACGGGCAACACGTTCGTTTTTTCCGCGAAGCTCTAGCTCGATCAGGGGCGAAACGACAAGGGGGGGGGGGGGTGTCCAACGGACCCCCCCCCCCCCCCTAATACGTTCGCGGCTGGAAAAACACCAATACGGGCGAGGGTTAACATTAGCCCTATGGGCGTTACATGGAAAGAATGGGACCAAAAGTTGGCAGTGCCCCCCTTAATCGAAGGTGTTCCTCCGCTACTGGCCGGGGGCGGGTACCGGATAGGTCTCTTGCATTTGCGTGACATTCTTTTTGTGAACTAGTTTTGTAGTGCGTATTTCTCGTTTCGTTTCCATACTACTCAAACGGCAGGCTTGTGGCTCATAAGTCATGTTAATAATTGGGGTCAGTGCGGCTTTCAACTGGTCACTTACGTGGGTTCGGTGCGGATTTTTCGTACTCTCAGCCGGCTTTGGTGCGGATTTTCCGGCTCTGTTTGAAGAATTGGTGCGGATTTTGAACTTGGGCCGGTGCGCCTTGTCGACCTCCGAGCCATACTTTGCAGACTGGGTGGGGTGTGGGCTTTAGGAAGAGGGGACCTGCCGCCCGACTCCCGACTCCCGAGGGCACTTATTTGGAGATCGCAACACAAATTTTGGCACTTTTTATAATCTTATTTTGCATTCTTGAAGCTGGTGTAGGCAGTAGGCACCAATGACCACTGTAGTCCGGGCGCCCAAAAACCCCAATTCGTAATCGGTATCCTCTTAGCAGACGTCGCCCTTGCTGCCATATCTAGTTATGTAGCTGTGTGGTACCAAAAGTTATAGTATGAATACAATGGTTTTATTCAACTAACTTCGACTGATGAGTCAGAGTGTGTACCTGAGGATGAAACAGAAACAACAAATATTAGTGCGAGCACCACATTCGACAGTAATGGGCGGTTTATCACATTTTCCCCCGCTGTGTGAAAGACATGAGTAGGCAGAAATCGAAAAGCCATATAACGAACAACAGGCCAATGAACCGTTGCAGAGACTTTTTGTCGCGGGGTTCCGGCAGCTCTTGAAGTGGACGCAGTCGTTCGGGGTTCGGTCTCAGCTGGCCTCGCTGGATTGAATACCCGAGGATATTCACCGTCTCCAGGCCGATCTTGCACTTGCTTCTGTTCAGCGTGAGGTGGAGCGCATCAGCAACCTCTCAGAGGCGCCGGAGGTTCTCATCGTGCTCTTCCCTCGTCTGGCCGCAGATGTTCAGGTCGTCCAGATAAGCTCCTTTAGGTTGTTGGCCGCGATGATGTCATTCATGACGCGCTGGAAGGCGGCTGTGCCGTTTGTCACCTCCATGGGGATTCGCTTGAATTGGTACAGCTTTCTTGCCGCTTGGAACGCTGTGAAGGGTCCCTCAGATGCGACGATCTCGATTTGGTAGTAGGCGCTGAAGAGGTCGAGGACGCTGAAGAAGCTGTTTTCCCGACCTTGTTGACGAGTTCGCCGATGTTCGGCAGAGGATACGCGTCCAGTTCAGTAAATCTGTTGATAGTTTTAGAGCAGTCAACGACCATCCTTTTCTTCTTGTTCTCCGTGTGTGTGACGACAACTTGGGCACGCCAGGGTGATCGACTTGGCTCGATGACGCCCTCGTTTAGCAAACGCTGAACTTCGTTCTCGATGAACTTCTCGTCCACGTGGCTGAAGTGTCGCGCTCTGGTCGCGATGGGATGGCAGTCGGGGGTGAGGTTGCTGAAGAGCCTCGGGGATGCCGCCTGACTGACTTTCATCTGCGCGAGATTGGAGATATTGTGCTCGGGTTCGTCGCCATCGAGCTCCAGGCAGGGTTACATCCTCGTGTCTTCGGAGGAACGGCATGCCGAGGATGACGTCCGTGCAGAGATCGGGGAGGATGGACAGTTCGACCTCCTGGTACTCCCGATCGTCAACGGTCACGGTTGACACGCAGTATCCTCGCACCTGTGTTGAGAGACTGGATGATGCCACGGAGACTTAAGACGATCGTGGCAGCACCCTCATGCCGAGTGCGGGGACGAGCTTTGCGCTGATGAAGTTGTCTGACCTCCCCAGGTGTCAATGAGAGCTGTAACCTGACGCCCGTTGACTCTCGCGCTCACTGTTGCTGGCGCGTGAGTAGCGGCGGCAGAGTTTGAGGCTGCGAGCGTGGGCGAGGACTCCGGCTGGTGAGGTTCTTCGGGGGTAGAACTCGTACTCTCCTGTACGGCCGACGCGTTAGCCACTTCCGACTTGGAGCGGCACACCTTCTGCCAATGTCCGGATTTGCCGCACTTCCCACAGGTTGAGTTTCTTGCAGGACAGGCTGCTCGTGGGTGGCGTTTTAGTCCGCAGAAGAAACACGGAGGTTGCGAGGCTGCAGCTACGGAAGCGTGTGCAGTTGGAGATGCGGCGGAGGCTGCGACC